ATCCTCACTGAATATAGCAGAGATTGCTCTAATCGAAGTTCCGGCTACGGAATCTATCAATTTGGGCGATTCAATGCGTACGTTTGAAGTAGACATTAAAAAGTGGAAGGTGATGACCGGAAAGAACGGTTGTAGTGACGTCAAGAAAAACGGCATTAAATGGCTGCGTTTTTGTGCAAACGATGGACTGTCTGTCATCTGTCATCAAGGACCTTCTTCCAGCATCGGAACGTATTTCGTATACAGATGTTGATGACGTATTTGATCATCGTACCAACGACATATGACGGTCTGAATGGATTTTGGCATTAACACAGATGCAGAGCTGTCAATCTACCATTACCACGTTGGCATCTTTCCTTGCAAACGACGGAACCCCCTGTAAAAACCTGGAGGCAGATGGACCTTCCAATCACATCTGTCTTCTATCGATGTGAAAGCCAAGGTAGCAAATATGATTGAACGACGGTTTTAGTAGATCCGGTCGAAAATGGCTGATGAGTTGAAATTCTTTGAAAATGGCCTACAAGGGACTGTTGCTAATGGCTGTAGTTCAAAACACGTTGGACTACCGCCTGGGGGTAAAAAACAAGCTTTCAGATGAACACCAGGGATTCACTTGGCTGTCAACGAAAACGGAGCTGCATCCAAGAGGTGCCTCAACTTGAATGCGATACGAAGAAGCGCACAAGGGGAGATGAAAACAGTGGTCAAAGCGAAAGCGAACTGCTGAAAAAAGTTAGACAAAGTAGTGCTGGAGTCGAATTTTGTAGATGGCAAAGAACGTGTTGTTGTGGCAGACCATCCTCCTCGTCTGAGATGTAAAGAAGGACAATCTAAGAGTTCTGAAAGACAAATCCTGACGTCTTCTTACCAGAGAAGTGGATATACTTCGATGATGCAGAGAGTTCCTTGAAAAACTCCTACATAATGAGCAGACTCCAGAGAGACTCGCATGGTGGCCATTAATGCCTCAGTAGATGAAAGCGCAAGAGCTGTATTAGGCTAAGGAACTGACCAGTCTGCGGGAATCGATGAAATCCGCCCTGAGATGGTTATAGCGTTAGACGAATAAAGATTGTTCTGGCCAAGAGGCGTCTGTGAAGCTGCAGTGGCAACGGGAAGACGTCGGCGGACTTGATAACAGGCATTGTAGTTCCCCTGCTCAAGTAGGGAAACTGCTATGAGAGCTCATATTATGAGGGCATTGCCTTACTGAGCTTTAGGGGAAAAGCCTACTGAAACGTGTTGGAATGTAGGTGCCACCAAATAGATGATCAGTGCGACTTCAGGTCCGGCTGAGGCACCTCTGATCAGATCTTCGCCTCATTTCAGTCTGAATGACCGGGTGGTAGTTTTGAGATACCGGTAATGTGTACCGCTGCCTCTGCTGATGTTTATTTCGAGGTTCAGCTGAAGAAGCTTGGCTGCCACAGCTTGAGAATTGCGTACTCGTTCAATGGTTGGTGGCTTTCGAGACCTTCTAAAACGATCTTGTTTAGCAACATCGATTGTGACTGTGAAGTAGAACAACGTGTAGCCCGACCCCGTGTCCAGCAAAGGCAGTGCATGCTCCAACGACAGACACATCTGTAATTACGGGCCTTGTGACATGTTCACCGGATCTACAGTTTTCGCACACACTAGGGACATCTGCCTGGACCTTCTTCACCTCGGTGATGTAGATGTCGTGTAGGGCGTCTGACGGCAGAGTGCTGGTAAGCCACAAATATCTTGACGATATCCGTTTGTCGTTTGCCAGTCGGGTCTTGGCCATCACCAGGTCGTAGGTAATCTCAGTTTTTGGCAAACCGGCGCGGTGTCCTGCATTTACACGTCCGGTATTTACCCGTGCGTAATGTATTCTGGCGAGTTTCGTAGGCAGTTCATTCATGGTGCAAATCTTCATCAACTATAGCCTTCTTCCTTTGCACATTCGGTGATGGGGAAGTGAATTATGAATTCCTTGCTTTATGGAATTCGTTGTTTACCTCACCTCTAAAGTGTAAAGCAAATTCCTCCCAATGATTGAAAGCAGAGTGTACATTGAGGTATCGGTCAGATGATCCCGGTATTCTTTCATGCGTAACATACTTCTGGAGGATTTCGTAGTCAGTTCATTGACAATGCCAACCTTTATGAGCTATGGCTTCCATCCTCCAGATTTTTAAGCCAACCCGTTGAAATGTAGAAGGCAGGTGGTTGGTGAACACGTAGTCAGAGTAGGGTTCACGGACGAAAGCCAGTCCTCGCCTGCTCATTAAGGAGAGGATTGCTGCCATTCCACAGACATTTGCTAAATTGGAACGATACAGCATTGTTGCAGTATTTATTACAGAAATGCAAAATGTATTTTTAACGTACTAAATATCACATCATGTTTTTAACAGTACTTGTCTCACTTTGTTTACTGCATTTTTAGTGGCAAAAATGACATGAAAGCTACTTTAGATTTCAGTGTAGCTTTGTTTGAAAGCTTTCTTTGTTTATATGGGCTGGTTAGTACTAAGTACGTATATGCTTGAGTCTGTCGCGTAAATTCTTCTTACTGTAATCTGATACGTCCTTCCTTAATCCACAGTGCTTCATTATCACTGTTCCTTAGAAGAAGCGAAAGTTTCGCCATATGCTGATGTCCATGATTAGTAAATCAGCTTGTCCTATCCGAGACATGGCGAAAGGAAACTGGAAGGAAGTTTAAAGATAGTCTCTTCCAGAAATAGCTGTTATGCTGCCGTGCTGATCAGAAAATTTGCTAGGGAGCACAAGCACGGTATAATCCATTAAATCATCTGACCGAGTATTAGATTAGAGCAGTAATGTGTACTTGGCAGGGGCAGTAATGTTTAAAGTTCATCAAAGATAAGGTTTTGCCAAAACACACATGTTCAGGAGACTGCCAGTTTTTCTCCTAGCATTTTTGATGCTGGATGTCGGTCCGCGCTGTCGTATCTAAATCGCGTCGGGCTCGATCGCCGAGGGGGCAGTGCTTGCCGCCATTTGGCGGGTATTCATTCGGGTGCATCCTTCGCACGTTGTTCCATATAATAATAGGTAGCCTCTTTCTCTCTCCTTTTCATAATCCGGTTTCATTTGTTCCGCTGGTCAGTGCATAGCGCTTCAACGTCGCATGAGTGGCAGTGTTCAGCTGCTCGGTGTTTGCACACGTCAGGACTGCCAGCTGAGTTTAGTG